TAGACACTGAGGGCTGGTACTGTGTCAAGAAAGACAATATTTCTTTTTCCTCTAGATTTTTCCTTGAATCTTGTGCCTTTGTTTACAACCGTGTCTAAAAACATAGTCTCAGTGTCAGATATTTCGGTCGTGAATTTGATAGTTGGGTGATGTAGTGATGTTGTTCGATGAAGGCTTCGATGTCTGGTCTACTTATGTCCCACAGGGAAAAGATATCGTCAATGTAGCGTTTCCAAACTATAGGTTTAAAAACTGTTCTGCTTAGAATTGTGTTTCAATATGTGCCACGAAAATATTGGCAAAAGAAACTGCTGTCTTTGTGCCCATTGCAGTATCATGGGTTTGTAGGTAGTGTTTTCCATTGAACTGGAAAGAATTTTCTTTGAGGATTAGTCTAAGCATTTTCCGCAGGTAATGTGTAGGAATAGGAGGGTTGTATTTGTAGAAGTTTTCATATGCTTTACAGACAATTTCAATGCCCTCGTTCTGTGGTATATTTGTGTAAAGACTTGTGACGTCCATCGAAACAAGAAATGTTCGTTTTTTCACCTTTGTGTTTTCAATAAAATTTATAAAGTCGGTGATATCTTTAAGGTATGATTTCTGTATTTTTGATATTGGTTGCAGTAATGCATCATCGAAAGAGGAAATTCTTTCTGTTGGACCATCGCAGCCGGAGATAATTGGTGCCCCTGTAATGGTTGGCTTGTGAATTTTTTTTGTTTTTGTTTTTGTTTTTTTTGTTTTTTTTATATGTTTATTGATAATCACATTAAATAATTACATTTACAATACTACAAAAACAAAACAAAAAAAAACACTTTAACAAGAGACATTAACAGAGTAAAGCAAAATTAATTGTCAAATTATTACAGGGCTAAAAGAAATTATAAAAAAGTACAACAGGGCAATGAAATAATACGGAGTTAACACAGTTAACTTAAATAAGGCGTCAGTATCCACTTTCTTTTAAAGAATTCTTTGTTGCTGAATATTTCTTCTGTTTCATATTTAGCGATGATCTTGGCTCTAAATCCATAAATGTTTGGAAGGATTTGTTTGCTCCTGCAGTCCCACAAATAGAGTTTTCCAATAATTATAAAATAGTTGAGCAATTGAAGTAAAGGGCAAGCATTTTCCGTCAAAATTCCAAAGAGACGAATTCGTTGATTCGAAATAAGGCACCAATATAGTTCAAATTCAATCCAAAACTGTTTAGAGCGTGAGCACTGATAGAACAAATGGGTTAATGATTCAGGTTGACTGTCACCGAAAGTACATAAATCATTTGCTCTAAAACCTATTTTATACAACTTTGTATTTGTGTAAAGAATTGAGTTAATTAATTCGACAACGATAGAGTGTGGCAGCTTAAATATTTGCTTCAGATTGTCGCTGTTAAAATGAAAGTTACTCTGTAACTTTTGAATAATATTGGGCGGTTTAGCTTTTTCTCTGATGAGTAGGTTGTAGTAATTCTTTGATTTCCCTTTCGTAACATCAATTGTGCCCACCACAAATGTTGGTGAGTTTATGGAAGGATACCTGTCATAACTTCTTAACGATAATGGAATGGACCTGCGTAAGCCTGCCCATTCTAAGATATTTGTTTTGCATATTTTTTTAGACAGTTGATTATAAGAATTCGAAAGAATCAGTATTGTTCAGACTAAATAAAAGATTCTGACTGCAAATGACTCTCGCATTAACATAAGGTTTATAATAAACCGGCTTGTTTTCTACTTTTATTTCTTTGTTATTCCAGATTATCGTTTTCCAATCTTCTTCAGTGGCAAACGTTTCACGAAATTGCGACCACCATAACAAAAGTTCCTGATAAAATTGAGAAGGAATTGTGATTCCTTTAATTGACTCTTTTTGCCTTATAGCAATTGCTAAAGTTTCTACAGCAATTATAAATAAGTAAGGAGAAAGTGGATCACCCTGCCTAACACCGCGTTCCAGAGTAAAAAATTTAGAACTAACGCCATTGTTTATAACACAGCTTTGAAAGCTGTTATAAAAGGTTTTCACCCATTGAAGGAAGTCTCGACCAAAGTTAAACTTTTTAAGACTCTCAATGAGAAATTCCCATTCCACACTATCAAAAGCTTTTTGAAAATCTATAAACAGCAGTAAACCTGGGATGTTCAGGATGTTTTCATTAGCTGTGAAGTCCATAATAGCGGGGCTCCCGCGCGCGCGAAGCGCGCGTGGGACAGAGCCCCATACTCATGGAATATGGTCAACCTCTTTTCGTTTGGTTGTCACGTGACTGACCGAGCGTACGTACGTACGTACGTACGCGTCTACAGATTGTACGGGTAGGGTAGGGGAGACTATCAAAAGGAAGGGAGGGGTGTCTCAGGCGTGTCTTGGCAAGTCCTCATCTTTTATATATGACACTCACAATATGGTCAATTGACAGCTGTCAAAACAGGATAGCCACTGACCAGTATGCCATGACCATATCGCGGGCTCACGTGTGAACTCATCGAAGTTCACGTGATTTATTTGGAAGCTGTCCGCTGACCAGTTAATCGTTTTACTAGATCGCGAACAATGTTCAATCACACTTTTTAGCTAGTTTGGGATCGGAGCACAGGAAAACTGATACACATATTGGACATCAATATTGTGATCAATTGACAGCTGTCAAAACAAGGTGTCCGCTGACCAGTATCACTTGAGCGAATCGCGGGCTCAGGTGTCGACCCATCGAGGTCACGTATTTTTTTGAAGTTATCCGCTGACAAGGTACTGGTTTTCAAATGATCGCAGGCTCAAGTTTAATTTTTTTTTAAAAATTCGTATGAAATATGCTGTGTTTATTTGCCGCACAATTAAAATTTTGATTTTAAACTGACCTCGGACGCGAAAATTCAGTCAGCTGCTACAGGCAGGGAAGACAGTTGCTTTAGACTTTTCTCATCATGTTCACGCGTTGGTCACGTTCTACGTCCAATTTTTATGCTCTGATTGGTCAAAATTTGACAGGTGAGTTCATGCGGAAAATTTATGCAGCATCTTGAATCTTGTTTACTTTGACAGCTGAAGCTGACAGAGTTTTGTGTCAACTTGTGATGTTTTTAACTGTCCTTTTCCACTGGATGTACAAAATGAAATTCAGCTGCTATCGGAAGTCTTCTGTTATCCATGGCTAGTTTGTTTATTGGGTTTTTGGTTGAGAAATACGTCACTTGTCAAAGTTGGAAGTCCGATTTCGGATGGCATCGTTTTCGTTTTCACCTTGCTTAATTCGTAAGAGGGTTTCAAAGTCTGAAGCGATACTGGCCTTACTTGATACCTTTGAGGAGCTGCATCTCGAGTGGTAAGCCTGAGTAATTATTGTATTTGATGTTTGTTTTTTATTTCTAATTTAATGAGGTCGAGCGTAGTTTATGCGGCTATTTTGTTTACGCACGTTTGTAAGATTTGAGACAATGATCTGACCGAGTATCAGGTTTATATAAGATTACAGATCTTTTTTCTCACCGCAAATAGAAAGAACACG